ACTTGAGAATAAAATTTAAATGTTGATTAATATTGGACGTTGACAAAATCAGAGTAAATCTTAATTTTCATTACCCCGGAACGGTATGGAAGCGAATATTAATCAATACCTCAATTAACATTACGCCATCTTTGTTTTTTGGTCATTTCTGTTATTTTTGTAAACAACCATATTTATTTACCAATATTATGCTTCCGGACTTTTTGAAAAAAAAGTGGCGTAGCGTTCAAGGTATTGATTTGCAACTACAGCATCATCATCAGCCTATCGCAGTCCACTGCTGTCCATAAACCTGTCCCAAAGTGTATCATTTCGCCCGGTCCTCAGCTTGTCGCACCCATCTGCTGCAGATCGTTTGCCGAGTCGTAATATTCACACAAGAATTCGTTTCCCTCGTCGGTTTTCGGTTCTTCGAGAGATAAGGGCAGCTCATTGCCACTTGAGCCTGCTTATTCTACCAGCTATGTCAAAGACCTTGGTTCTCAACGGTTCGCTCGAAACTCTTTAAGGGACAAGGGAGGGGCATTTTTGGTGCAAAGTATTACTTAGCATTTTGAATCTTGTAAAGAAAAAAAATTCAAATTTATTTGAAGTGATAGAATGTATAATGCAGTTCCGCGAGCAGCCGCGACTAGTTCAAAGAGGCATCGTGCTACCTCCTTTCTTTAAGAGTGAAGATATTGGCTATCTAGTTTGTACATTACACAATTGACCATAAAGTTCATTATGCTATGTACAATATAGTTACAAAAATTCGCATCCATTCCGTTCCGCAGCAATATAAATTGAACCTAATGTTCACATTACTGCTTGGCGGCAGGGATAAGTAAGATGACAGTACTTCCCCAGACAAACTCTTGTACAAAGAGCTCTAGTGCTGCTACAGTACAATTGAAAAAACATTGTAACACCTCATAATGTTCAGAGCAAAACTTTTTAATCTTGTTAAAATAAGACAGGCATCAGAAATGGTCCAAAAATAGCACCAAGTAGGAGTTTGGATATACTAACACAGAACACGGCAAACTTCTAGTTCATGTGCATGCAGACGAAGGACAGCCATGATGAAGAAGGCGCCGAGTAGACTGAACACATAGGCCATCAGCACTAAGCCGCTAAGGTTACGCAGCTCAGGCAACATGATGTATACCGCTAGAACTAGCGCCAAGAAAAATGTTGAAACTAGAAATCCTGAAAAATTTCGTGAGTTTATTACAGAATAAAGGATTTGTTTATTATTGAAAATAACAATATTTAAATAACACTAGCGTAAGTACCAGTCCAATGCCAAACGCAAGACCGGGGGTGAGGATCGTCGGGGAGGACGCTTGCTCGTCTACAGTGAAATTATAGACACATGGGACTCGTCAACTTAAGTCTCAGGGTGACGGGCGCAGTGGCAATGCCCCTTAGATCTAAAATCAAAATAATCTTTATTTCATTGGTAAGCACTATTGCACTTGAAATCTTCACATTGGTAGAACTCTACCGCTCATTCGTAAGGCTGATTCCCCTGAGAACAATGAACAAGAAACTCTAGGGGTTCTCTTTATAAATAACATTTGTACACATTCAACGTTTACAATATGTTTTTTTTTTCTTTCAAACATCAGAGATCGAGACTTCCTCCGTGATTTATGTCATCCAAGCACGCAGAAGTTGTATAAATATAATAACCTTTAGTATAAAGTTTTTGTTGTTTTTTGTTGTCGGTCCAAATCCAAAAAGTGACAGAAGTACAACAAAAATTTCAAAGTTTATTTTTGGTAAACTAGTAAAGTGATGGAAAAAAAATTTTTGTTTATGATGTTAGTAATATAGTCCTGCAAGTTGTTAGTATTTTACAAATGACCCTGTATTTTATGCCGTAAATATTTATGCTTACCTATTGTAACAATCGTGGCGTTGCTGTCATCAGGACTTTCATAATGAGTCATGATAACGAATTTTGGAGGAGTTGCCTTTCCTTGTAGTTTCAAGTCGATGCAGAAGTTATTGATGTCTATTTGCAATAACCATTTGTACTCATTGGGCACCATCTGTATGACTTTCCCAGTCTGAAATGTAGAATAGATTATGAAGGTGTCCTTCTGAGTATGGTCATTTCTCTGTCCCATGTATGATTCCCAAATTGGGAAATATCAACCCCCAGGTGGTCTATTCCATCCTGTAGTTTGCAACACATCAGCGAAAAATAAATAGGGAGTGCATAGGACGCCATTGGAGTTTAACGAGAGTGGACCCTATTTAGTCACATTATAATCAAAACTGACTATCCATAAATGGAATAATTCATATCAAACAGGTAGTATCAACAACCCATTTACACGTCCCAAAGGTGGGCACGGAAGTCCTCTCTAAAACATTTGTGAAAAAAGTCCAAAAAAAAATCAATACGTACACACCTATCCACATTTAGTTTTCTTAGAATCAGAAAAAACGTAAACAAAGAAGCAGTGATCATAATGTGACTTTTTGTTCGGTCAACAAATTATAATAAAAGGAAAACTTCATGAGAATAAGTGACGAATGATATTAATTTAATTAAACTTTCGCGTTTTATTTTTTTAATTGTACTAACATTTGGAAACGGGAATAAACGCGTATACATACGAATAGGTATTTTTCACATCTACCTAATTTTCCAACTAGGTAGGGATGTTTCCAGATATTAATTTTATAAAATTAACATTTACAATAATTATGTAATTATTTCGTGTTAAGTTTCCGTTTAATGTTTGTAGTGTCTGGTTTTTAAGTTTTTTTATAGTGCAAGTTTTTGAAATAAATTAAGTATGTCAAGATAGACAGTTTTCATTTAGTCTTTAGAGAATGCTGCGAGTAAAAGAAATACAATAATTACATACATTTTGTGAATGTGTTTGAGAATTTTGTTACACGGTATTTCTTAATACATAATAAGGTAAGTATTCCGTGTAATAAATACGTGAGACGCACTATAAGTTTCCGGAATGAATAAGAAAAAAATACTATAAATGGTCAGAAATGAATTTATTGTTTCTCAAAATATTCTCCGTTAGCGTTAATGCACTTTTTCATACGAATGAACCAATTTTGAAAACATTTATGCCACTCCTCCGTGACAATCTCTGAAACATATTTTTCATACTCTTCGACAGCCTCTTCAGGTGATGAAAATCGTTGACCGTGTAACCGGTTCTTAATTTTTGGAAGTAAATAAAAGTCACAAGGTGCCAAGTCAGAACTGTACGCGTGATGGCTCTTAAGGTCAACGTTGTTCACCTTCGAAAATTTATTTGTCTGTCTGGCCGTGTGAGAACTGGCATTATCGTGCTGCAAGATGATACGGCGTGAAACAAATGGTCGTGTATCAATCACTATTCACGATACAACAATTCTCCAAAGCAACAGTAGCCACGTGTCCAATCTTATGTCTCGTCACCTGTTACTATGTTCCACACCAAATTTGACGCCCCTTCGTTGAATCTGGTAAGCATGGCATTGCATCGTATTGACATTGCACAAGTGACGCGTGTATTTGACTCATGTCTGTGCCTAAAGGTGCCCGAATCTCATGGTCTGTCACATGCCTGTCTGTTTTGATCATATGGCACACAGCATCGACGTTTTTGTTGTTTACAGCAGTGGACGGGGAGGAGTGGGCTATCACGAAATTCGTCACTGAGATTCACACGACCGCGTTTGAATTCTGCAAACCAGCTGTATATAGTCGTCTTGCATGGTGCTTCAACACCAAAAGCAGTTTGAAGCCGAGGGAAGCTCCGCTGTGCTGTTAAATTGCACGTAAAGTCATAGACAATCATACTACGAAAATTTTCACGAGTTAAATCCATGGTGATTTAGACAACCAATTTCTAAAATGACGCCACAAAGTAAAAACAAATGACAGTCAGATGAAACAAACTTTATTCTACAGCCAAAGAGATGTTGTAATTACTTTTTAAATATTGTTTATTTAAGTGGCCAGTTCCAGAAACTTATAGTGCGCCCCATGTATTATTAAGTGTAAAATAAACAAATGTATACTTACGTCCGATAAAAACAATTGATGACGGGATTTGGAAAAATCGTACCAAGTACGAGAATCAAACGTTTGATTTGCCGGAATTTCAATGTCATAAACGTCGAGAAGTTTTTTATCTGATAGCACCGGTATGTTGTTGTCTATATATCGATAGAGCGGAATATTAAGAAATGTTTGATTTCTCCACTTCTCATTTGGAATTCTACACTTCATCGTGCCTTTTAACAGATGCTGTCCATCGGGACAGCATTTTTTAACCATTATCTTGTTCATTACACCTGGATTTATGTCATTATGACCTCCAAGATCCGCAAAGCACTCAATATAAATGATTAATGTGAAAAATAAAATAACAACCGATGTGCCGTCCATGACTTGTAGTTTTCAAATGGATACTGAAGGAACAAACAATTTGCCTGTTGTGGTTACATAAATTCAGGTAATTCTAACAAGATTAATCCCATAGCGCAAGGGAACAAATTAAGTAATTAATTGTTACGTAGGAATATGTTGCAGGCATTTTTAATATTAGAGGTCATTTTCAGTATTTACGGCTTTGGATAGTTTGCCCTTTTGAATCAAATGTCATGAAAATCAAAAAATTATAAGTAGAAAAAAGGTTACTAAGAAATTCTTTAAATCGTTGCCTAAGTTAAACATGAAATTGCATAGTGTTCTATTCAACTGTTTCCTTGAAAGCAAATGAGCACATATTTTCTCATATCGTAAATTACGACATGTATCAATTGAGACAAAGGAACTACAGAACCGTTGACTTACAAATAAATGGACGACGGGTCTAATACAAAAACCACGAAAAAAATGTCCCAAGTCAACCTATTTAAACGTAGTGACATGTCAAGGAATATGAAAAAGCTAAAACGTTGAATTTAAATTGTAATGTTATCGCAGTACTGTCTAATTTTGCTCGCTTCTCTGTCAGTCCAACAAACGTAGACTAGAGCGTGAATGACGCTCTGTATACGATTTTAACGCCCTATAAGTTCGGACACTTTTTAGCGCGGACCCGACGTCCATATAATTGAAAGTCAATGTACAGAACACATATTTTTCAACAGCTCCAAATATTTCGCTAAGGCATCATAAACAAATTTTAAACCAATTTCATTAGGTTCATTCCCCTTTTATCATTGACCTTTGTGATTGTTAGCATATTGCCAATGCAAGACCAACCTAGATCTCGTATAGACCGTGTATACTGATGCGAGATCTAGGTTGGCCTTGCATTGGCAATTCAAGATCAAGAAGAAAATGAAGCCTTTCCTTCTGTGTCTTGAATTTACTAAACGAGCTCTTAAATGTTACCCCCTTCACTGTACTCTATAGATGTCATATAATATGTAATACAAATTATATTTACATTTTATTACTAAGTGCAGTCAAATAATTTGACTGCACTGAAATAACATTTGAGCAAATCAATGCTTAGAAAAAATCATAACAATATTGAAGCGTTTAGGTAATTTAGCTGAAGTTATACCATCTGTAAACATAATGTAACATTCGTGTATGTTTTTGAAACGAATGTTGACGTTATAATACTATAATCGCTCAAACAACTCGAAATATTTATGACATACATAGAACAAGTCTTCTTATGGTATCGAGGCATACATTATGCTATTGTAGCCCAGAACTCAGCTACAACGACCGAGTAAAACTCAGGCAGATGTCAGTGCATGCAGAGCACGATGTGAGATGAGGTATCGTTTGAATCGCATCGCATAAACAGTCCGGTTTGGAAACTTCCGAAAATCCCCACCTAGACAAATTGTCCTTACTCCAGCCTGTTAAAGACTTCCAAATCAATTTCTCTTCAAAACATCTTTCGCGCCAAAGATTGCACGTCGCCTAAGCTGACTCATTGTTCAGAGGATCGACACATTTGACGAAAGTTTCAAGTCTCTGTTGCACTGTGAAGTGGTCGTGCATAAGATGCTGAGTGTCTATAGCCATTTTAGTTCTTTCGCAAGAGCTCACTATATTTCTGCGCGTGTCTAGCACAGCTATGCCAGCCAGTGGGTACAGCAATCTTACCGGAGTCGGCTTAGGCCAACCAGTTATGACCCAGTAGATCTCATTTAAGGCTACATCCACTAACTTTGCATGGGTAGAATGGCTCCAAGCAGGGCACGGCAAATGCGTATTCGCCAGCAGAAAAGGAAAGTGCCAGCTCAGTAGTACGCATGACCTACGACGAAGCGCGAAGCTCCCCACTTGGTGGTAGTAAGACGCAGCTGTAAATTATTGCGCGAGTGAACCTTCCATGGAAAGAATTTAACTAACAAACACAACATGCGTTTTAGGTTTACCCGAGAGGAAATTTTTATGTAGCAAATGAGCTTAGTGGTGACCACAGCTTCAGATATAATAATGTTTTACGAGCTATTATTGTACTCAATTGACCACAAACTTATGGTAGCACTATAGCATGAGTTGATATAACTATGCTCTCACAACTCTGATTCATTTGTGCAAAGTCGGTAATCTGTGGCCTAGACTTAGAGAAATGACAATACAGAAGGCTCAGTCCACAAGATTTATTATAAGAGATGACAAAGGAGGAAAAGAACTGTAACAATAATAAAATTATATTTAAAAAACAATTATTATTAAACACCTATGTATATAAAACTAAATAACACAATACACAATATTCACCCCAAAAGAAACCTCTTTCTAGACGCGGAGTTATCCACCATAGCTTCTTTGGAGCTGACACAACCATACCAGCTATTGTGAAGAAATGCGGACGACGATGAGAAGACTCCGATGCCGATCTTTACTGCTATTTCTACAAGATAATGTCAGAGTACAAACTGCCGAACAAATATCTCTGCTATAAAGTTGAAAATTATATTCGTTATATTAAAATACACGTCTGGATATTTATAAATGTTTAGGGATAATGAAAAATCAGGTGAAGACGGTGACAGGAGAATATATGAAGCATTATTTCCAGCCGTGTATAAGATGTTTCACCTTTGATGTAATTTGCATCACCTTGCAGAATAAAGCTCTTCTCCAACTCTTCTTCTCTTATCTAACTTGGACTCTATTGGCTGGAATTTTTCGCGTAATTAAGGTCATTAAGCATTAATTAATAAAGCGTAATTTAGCAGCAGTAAAGCACCTAGGGAAAAGTTCATCCAGGGAACTACTGCCTATTTCGAATTACCTTACCTATTTCTGCCGCCAGCAGTAATGTGAGCATTTAAAGGGTAAGGGTGCTGGTGAAATTACCGGCACATGGGACTTAGGAACTTATGTCTCAGGGTGACGGGGGTGGTGGCAGCGCCCCGGAGATCATTTTAATTAAAAGCTCCGAGTGGCACTGCATTTGTGTACCTTAAAAATAATAATACCTACAAAGAAAGCAATTTATCGGAAACCATTGAAGCAAGAGACGTTTCAAAACTTTTGAGGAACTTTGGAAATGTTTGTTAAAGCTCCTAAATTGAAATTTGAAGTATAAAAACCTAGACATTCGTTTTCAATCACAGTGACATATGAACATTTTGAGTAATGATTATTTTATATGGAACTTCAATTTCATACTATAAATTTATCTACATCCCTGTTATCCACAAACAATAATAAATAATTTTATTTTTATTAATAGGTAACAAAATTTCAATTAAAATATCTGCGACGGTCTCGGTGACCCAACGGTTTGCACCGTGGGCGCTGGATGAGGTGGACCCGGATTCGATTCCCGGTGGAATCAATTTGGGAAATTCATTTTTCTCAACTGATTCTGATCTGGGTGATCTAGTGAATGTCGTAGTCATCTAGTGAGTGTAGTACTTTAACACACTGTAATATATTATCTAGATAGTTTAATTCTTTAAAGAAGAGACCACACCGCGAGCAAAGCTAAACTAAATTAGTTTTTCTCATGTAGCTGCGGCATGTTTTCGTACATCTGTTCCCCCCTCGAACTAAGCTAATCGAGCTAAGTGAACTATAAGGGCTAACTACTCAATGATCCCGCTAAGCTAACTAAGCTCTGTCGCCCTTCTCCCCCGTGTATATTTTTAACAGGAAACCAGATTTGTAACCAAGTTCTCACAAATTCTTTATATGATAATATGTTTTAATGACTAATATTTATTTCAGTGTAATTTAAAATGCAAAATAATAACTTCGACCCACGTGAATCATTTCCACATCTAACAAAATATTGTTCTTTGCTTACACATCGGTTGACTCAACTCTGATGTTTCATTTTAATTACGACAAAAATATAGAGCGGGTAATTTAATGGTACATTACATTACATTGCTAATATATACTTGATTTTCTTCAGTATACCGTCCCCCCTTTACCATCCGTCACTACAACCCCCTTTTAGCATCGGACATCCAGACGTACGGCGGGATATTATCCTTACCTGGTCGATATTCCCTTCAGGCGTACTAAGACTTTTCATTGTGTGCACCTTTATATTCTGGTCAGGAAACTTCGCCATTATGGTGTGGCGGAACATGACCTCGACCTTCTTAAATCATATTTGAGTGGTAGAGTAGAGGGTTTATGTTAACGGTATGAGATCATCAGGGTCTGCAATTAGCATGGGTCTCCCTCAAGGTTCAATTCTAGGCCCATTTTTGTATTTAGTTTATATGTTAATGACTTACCTATCCTCATGGAGGGTATAAAACATGAGATAGTATTGTTTGCTGATGATTCTTCCTTATTATTTAAACTTAAAAGGCACCAATGTTCCTACGACGATGATAACAATGCTATATCTAAAGTAAGTAAAAAAAAAACAAAATAAAACAAATTGTGTGAAATTTATATTACCCAATGTTAGAGAGACAAACATATAAACATTGTAGTCAGAAACGAAAAATTGAACTTTGTTGATACAGTTGTATATTTAGGTACAACGTCAGATGCTAAATTACAATGGGGTCCACATATAAGTAAGTTAACAAAAAAAAAAATAATAGAAATTTTCCTAAATTCCGAACGAATGATAATTTGTTGAACGCAATTCTTTTGTTCAATTATTTTATTAAAGACCGAAAACTCTCTCAATAAATATAGTCTTACTAGATTACGACTAATTAGATATCCACACCAATTACCTGATATCAAATTAGAAAATTCCCTGTGAGCATTATAGGAACGTATTAAATCCGGAACGTATTAATACCCAGTACTACTCAGATCATCACTAAGACCATAACCCATTCAGAAAAGTTATTTGCAAAAAATTTATCTTATCGAGTTGAATCCAGAACCTCCTCATCTAGCGTCCAATATGCTAATCGAGTGACATTTTTACGAATCTGAATTACACCTTCTGAATTTGGGACATCAGGACAAGAAAGTGTATTCAGTGAACAGAATTCCATTTTGTGGTCAAAAAGCGCAATAGTGTCAATACTTTCCGTTGTAGATTTAACATTAACAGTAATAAGGTCAATTCATAAGTTCATATTAGTTGGAGACTGGACTATTATTGCCTACCAAGAATACTTAGAGAGTTCTTGGAAGCCGTATTTTCCTGCATTGTATTGATTTTTCGATCACCGGGAAATATTATCATGTTTGTATTTGGTGGTAAAATTGTGAAAACGAAGCAATGTGTTGTTCATAGATAAATAACATCAACGAAGATCTGTGTATAATTTGAGATCGTACGCAAGTCAATGCTCTTGTCGACGTGACGTCATAAAATCATTCATACCCTAAGAGCGAAAAAACGTGCGATTCGCCTTTGTCGAGTGTTATCTGTCGTTGATGTCTTTTACGCTCTTGTTAGTAATAAAGCTTTTCAGGAACACTTTTACTTTGAGAGTCAGGGAATACCTATATCTTGTTATATTCTAACCTTTTCCTAGATTTAATGTTTTGGACTGAACTAATGCTTGGAAATAAATACATTATGATCATTGACATACAAATAAATGCACGACGGGTCTAATACAAAAACCACGAAAAAAATGTCTCAAGTCAACCTATTTAAACGCAGTGACATGTTAAGGAATATGAAAAAGCTAAAACGTTGAATTTAAATTGTAATGTCATCGCAGTACTGTCTAATTTTGCTTGCTTCGCTGTCAGTCGAACAAATGAAGACTAGAGCGTGAATGACGCTCTGTATACGATTTTAACGCCCTATAAGTTCGGACACTTTTTAGCAAGGAACCGGCGTCCATATAATTGTAAGTCAATGATTATGATCATTATTTTCTTCTTTCTCAGCCTGTTGGCTGATTTGAACTACACTTACTACCTCCCATCAAGTGGCTTGTCTGCTCGTTTGCCTACTAGTTAACATAAAAAAAAAAAAATCAAATAAATGCAGAATGGTTTGTATCTATGTTAAGGGTGTGTAATAAGATTATTTTTTTTAGGACTGGCTCAAGTGGATATCGCGCCGATATTGTTGATGTTTAGTTACCAATTTCGAAACTATGGATAAGGATTTGTAATCTTAAGCATTTTGCTGTAAAACCGTGCATCTATCTCCTTTATTATATTATCCATAATAGCTTATTGCTAATTTAAAGTTTAAAAAACAAATAAAGTGACAAACGGGTTGATGAGCCCCTTGATAGAAGGTGGTCAACTTTGTTCATGGACATTTGCAACAGTTGCCAGCTTTGAAGAGCCCTGTTTACTCGTTTTATGAGAAACCCCATGTCAAAGGAGAGAAATGTTAAACATGTCAAAGGCACATAGGAAACATTTCGCAGGTTCGAGGAAAGAAAGAACGACAGAAGTAAAATTTATGTTATATCTAAATCATTAAAAACAAACAACAAAGTTTAAACAAAGCATATACAGGGTAGAAAAAATCAATGGGATATGTAAGAGAACTACTTAAATGCTTAACACATACGCGCGAGTAACCTACTATGCCTTTGTAAGTGATGTAGAATAATGTACTATTACGTAGGTATGATTTATATCCGAAAAAAACTGTTTCATTGTCAATGTGTAAAAATCGCGAAAATCCAAGAATTCGACACATTCTTTTATTGTTCTTAAAATTAAAAGTTTACTATACGACTCTGTGTTTATTGGAAATATTTTATCCATATCATAGATCCTATCGATGAGTAAAATACTTTAGTGAGTGTTTATTTTTTGCATTTTATATGGTTGGATTTCCTGTGAATGCAGTAATTCATATTAAGAGAAATAATAGAAAGTTTTCTTTAAGTAAAATTAGCATTTAAAGTAGTTTCCCTTCGTGTCTCATTGATTTTGTTCACCCTGTATTTTTACATTAACCTCTTTGATGTAATCATGTAATTCCTTTAAAGCATGTTATATTAAATAAGTTATAGTGCTCAAAATTGTTTGAACTCTTCGATACTATTGACTAAAGTAATAACATATTTTTTACATATTGGGCCATTTCAATTACATACAAGTCTTATTATATGTTTCCACTTCCAATTCCGACCTGTCAAATTGGAACTAAGACAGTACTTATTTCTCATTAGGCTCAATTACATTACCGCGGTATGTAAAGGAAGTGGATTTTTGTGACGAAATCCTGCATAGCATGTAATGAACTTCATGTCAATTGTGTAATGTACAAACTAGATACGATACGGTGGCGGATATTCTTCAGAAAACCCACGAACTGTTTTTTTGGGTCGTGTCTAGTTTGTAAGTTACATAATCTCAACACAGTACTAAAAAATCGACCTCAAAAATTCGTGGAATTACATCTATATGCCAAGTTTTGTTGAAATCGGTTACTGAAAAGTGGACCGAAACCGCGAAACCGGTTTCATGTTTCATCCCCTAGTTTGCCACCCTTGGAGGTGGACTATTTTCTTCAAATTTATATGGAACCAACACTGAGGTACCCTGTTTCCAACAAAAAAAAGAATCATCTAAATCGGATCACAAAGTGGAGTTTTCGCGTAACATACATACAAAAAAAATACAGCGTAATTGAGAACCTCCTTCTTTTTTTGAAGTGTGTTAATATTTGGCAAAAAGTCTTTATGTAATGTAAATTGAGCGTTATTGGCTCTTTCCTATTTTAAAGCTATAACGTAGTACAATAAGAAAAATATGGTAACTCCACGCAAAAGCAGCAGCGCGGTTTGTATGTGTGTGCGTCCGCCGCGTGCGGTCTATTATGGGTCTACTCCTCCCAATCTCAGTCCAACATCTCGTTGCTTAAAAGCTCAACGGCCGCATGTCAAAAATTCACTTTTTTACAGGAGAGGCGATCAAAGTTTTCGACCTCAATTTTTAACATTTTAATATTGTTTTTTTTTAAATACCCATGTATTTATAATCAAAAGATGCGTATTTTAAGGCTCTATAAATTTGTAAACACAGGCACAACTCACAAAAGGACTGTTTAGCTCAAAAGTTAGCCACGAAAGTACAGAATGCCAAACAAGCATTTGCGTAACTCCGTTGTTTATAATAAATAATAAAATAAATAATAAGAAAATGTTTCTTTATTTAGGTATGCACCCATTAATAAATTTAACATTATTAATTACATTACGTTACATTACATTACATAACCAATTAAATTGAATTTTATTTACCGAAGATTATAATTATTAATGAAGTGAATAATTAAGAATTACATTAAATTGAATTGAATTCACATTAGAAATAATAGTATAACAATAATTAATTAATTTAAATTTAAAAAATGGAGTGGTCACTTACAAATAGCACGCATCGCATACTGTTCTTACAATTTTTTACACACACACACACACATACACACACACACACGCGCGCGCGCGCGCGCGCGCGCGCGCTTAAACATACACACATGCGTGCGCACACACTTACGTACCTTTATAAATTTTGTTTATATTATTAGCATTTTAATCTCTAGTTAAGATTTATTTTTGTTTCTTTTTATAGTTTGCTACCTACTGTTAGGTCTAACCTAGTTTGGGGTCCTGTCTCCCAACCTCTCACTTATATTGTATTACCTACATCTTGTACTTGTTGGAAGAAAAATAAACGATTTATTATTATTATTATTATTATTAATTATATTGGCCGAATCGCTCACTCTCACAAGAAAAGACTAATATCTCTTCCGTATTATGGCGAAAAAAATCATCTACTCTATTCACGACAAACATGCCAGATGCACTACACCTCCAGGGCAGCCACAGCATAGCGCGAAATGCATTATTGTACTGAAGTCTTGAGTTTATCAAAAGCTCGCTTAGAGCAATGGTACCACAACAGACTAGTGTAGAACGCCTGACAGTAAGCCCTAAACAGAGTTATTATTTATAATGCTAAATTGAGGTGTCTTGGTGTAGTATTAAAGTCGTTGATCGTTTTTGGACACGTTTTTGGAATAAAAACATTTTTGAAATTTTTGTGATGCGGCTTAGCATATAAGCGACGATTACAACATCGTAACATTCATCATTCAGACAATATTGGTAAAATTATACCTACTTTCACAATATATCGATAAAATTGTCGACTAGACAACTACATGACTATTTAAAATTTTAAGAAAACTAATTTAATTTCTTTCTAATTTAATTTATTCATTTTAATTTATTTAGTAATTTCTTTCCAAGGCCTTAATGTGAGATGTAGTTAGGTGCTGGTCCCTTAGGGTGGATGCAGACTTGCAGTGGCGTGTCCTGGCTGATTTCGGAGTCGGTAGTATGGCTAACAGCGCTACTAGCGCTTTTATTACTCTTGGAGTGCCATAAATTACGCCGCCATTGAAACTCGTTGTCGCTTTTGAACCTATTAAAGGTTAAAAATGTTAATCATTACCGTTAAAATTGTCATTTTATACATCGATGTCCTCAAAATATTTTTTTTGTAGAATATCACGGGACGAACAAGTCGTACGCCTGATAAGCTACACGCCTGTCCATAACAATTTGCAGTGCCAGTCAGAGCTTTAAATCGCAAAGATCTGAGGCACTGCCACTGCCCTCGTCAGTCAGAGACATTAAGTTGATAAGTCCCATATGCCTGTAATTTCACCAGCATCCTTACCCTTCAAAGCCGGAACACAGTAATGCTGATATTACTGCTTGGCGGCAGAAATAGGTAAGGTGGCAGTCTTCCTTGGACGAACCCTTTCACAAGGGCTCTTCTGCTATTAAAATTTATTACCGTAAATATGTATGCTTTTGAAAAATATACACTAGGCTACTAATAACTTGATAATGAAATTTAAAAAATGAACCTTGATAGGAAACTATTATAAATTAAAATAAAAAACCTAGATACAAAATAGCATAGTCGTAAAGGTCATTAAAGTCACCATATATGTAAACTGCTCGTCGAGACCATTTAATGAGCCTTAACACGATAGTTTACTGAAGTACTTAACTGCCTCCGCTGCCGAACGGTTACCATACTGGTCTGCCACGCAAAGGTCCCGGGTTCGAGTCCCGGGCCGGGAGAAATATTTGTATGGCGTACATTTATTTCTCTCGTCCTTTTGTCCCATTAGATTTTTCTCGCGCTTTTGAGTGTATCAGTACTAAACTTTTAATCGCCGAGATGAGTGGTTATGGTGTAAGAAGAGATGTTTGGAACTGGTTCCATCATTCCTTACAAAAGAATGCAATGTAGAAGTACGAAATGAAAAAGGAGACATTATTAAGTCCAAGACTAAAACAGTATATAGAGGCCACCACAGGGAGTTAGTCTAAGTCCTATTGTATTCGTACTTTACACCAGTGACCTCGTACTTACTTTCAAATACAAATTTTAAAAAGAAAAATTCTTTCGACCTGACACGACTCGAACCTGCGTCCGTATGTCAATCTAGGGCGACCGTTCTACCAATTGAGCTACATATCGAGTCAGCAGACCTTACAAATTTCTATATTTATAAATGGATTTTTGCCGTAGTGCCACCTCTGAGAAAAATCTATGAAAGTTTTTTTTCACTCAACTAGGTAACTTTACAGCTACTAGAAATTGACAAAGAACGACAAGAAATGTCACTTTATGAACCTGTGACCACACGAAACTAGAGCCATCGCTCTCTATTCAATCATTGTGTTAATAATTAAGAACTTAATAGTTAAGAAAAACAATATAACGTTGTTCGTAATCTCTCCCTAAATTGACGTAAATCTGTCATTAGACATAAAACTTTATTTGAGAAAGATGATGACTGCTTTGGCCAAAGCGCGTAGGTGCGTTTATCAGAAAACATTATTAACAACATGCTTACACGTATTTACTGCAAAGACACACCTGTATTATCTAAACCACAATTGTACCAGTATATATGCATTAATGAGCCCTTAATACTTAAGTAAACAGGAAACTTGGAGCAAATATATTCTTTAGAATTATTGTAAGGAATCCTGCGCAAATTACCGTAATCTTAAAAGGACACGAGCCGAAATTCTGTCTAGAGTTAAGGTATGACGACCAACAGCGCCAAGACTATAAAGAACCCTAGATGCACCATAACACCATATGAAGATAACATGTGATGCTAACCAGAACTCGATAATGGCAAAGTCATCTTGAGATGCAATAAATAACTATAAGAGGATTGTTTTTGCATCAAAACCGAGCACATTCCGGAACTGAACATTCTCGAAGATCTACGGAATGACGCGGCCCCATCCTTACGGGCTGGTATAAAGAATCACACACCGGCGGCAACGTGGCAGTTCAAATTCAACAGAACACAAGCTCCGAATCGCTCAATATATATCAAACCATACTCGAGTTTAATTTGTACTATTTTGTAAATTATAAACTCAACAAATCCGCATACTTCCGCAATCGACGTTCTATGTTATTGAAATAAAGAAGACCGCCCCCACAACTCCTCGAAAATTACACATAACTCTAGAATAATTTACGTCTTCACTTACCTTTTAATAAGTTTTCGTAAAATTTCCCTCTTGCAGACAAAAATTAGAAAGATAAAGAAGCCCATGAGCAAATTATAAGCGTCTGTGATGTACCAGCCTTTGAAGTTTGGATAATTGGAGCTAATCACCTCCAACACCCAATTGATGCCCATGATAATAGACAATTTAAGGTAAACCAGTAATCTGAAAGAAATTTGTTGAAATTTTGAAACTTCGTCTCTTCTAATTTTTTTTCGGATCTCATTCGCGTATATCTGTTTTTTCAAACAAACCAACGTTTCAGGCCCGTTACAGGTCCTGCGGTCACTGCTGACCTTACTTGTTAGTTGATTTGTTTGGAAAAACAAATACACGCGATTTAGATTCGAAAAAAATAGTTTCATTTTCAATATTTGAAATTACTTAACAGTTAAAAATAACTAAGTACGAGTACGTGGTGCATTTACACCGGGTCGTCTGCTACCTTTGGCTGACTACTTCGCCTTACCGAAAACGACGCAGTATTTACCGCGGTGGGGCGTAACTATGGACACATTGAAACCTGTTCGGGCCACTGTTGCTGGCCGACAGCGACCGTGTCGCCCATAGCGTTTACACCTAGTTACGTTCAACTTCGGCCACGAACTGCAGTTGTCAGATGACACAGTATCACAGATTACTTATTAGTTACTACGTAACAGACATCACTCTCATACAAAATGGAAAATATCATCGCTATAACAGCCATAAAGGAACTATAACGCTATAAAGTAACCTAAGCACGCGCACAGAGAGGTGAAAATAATGCTGGGATTTTTAAAATAAATGAAAGACTTGTCAGAGCGCTTGTACTGTCGGCGCTACACTCGATAAGCGGTAGGCCTTATCGCGTAACCTAGAGCGAGTGACTGAGCTCTGACAGTAGTTACGCCAGGTAGCTTGCCGTCTACGGCGATGAAGCAAAAGTCGCCTGACTAGGTAAATGTAAATGCACCACCTAGTGTAAATGCACAACCACGCGACACCGATGACGGATACAATACAGTTGTATCTTAAGGTATATTGGTTAAGTTCCAGAATTACTTTTGTGCAAAAGTTATGTCTGAGAAAGTGCTAAACAATGATAAAATATACACGTACCGGTATCGCTGTGTGCGATGAGCAGCAGGCGTACCGGCTGCGGCTGAATCAAGTACAGCAGTATTCCGATGTAGTCGCCATATATTAAACGCCGTCATGAGAAACAGCACCCAGTTAGTCATGGTTAGAATTAGCATTGGTACGTACAGATAGAAGAACTTCCCATCGTCTGTAGTGGCAAAATAAAACGTATTGATTGTTTAAATGGGTACATAGAACAAAGAGACAGAAAATATATTCTATATACATATATAATAATATATCAGATGAGTTTGCTCTTGACTTCTGATTTAATGCGGAGGGATAATAAAACAAGCTGTATGAAAAAAATGTTCAACACAAGCGCAGCTATTTTGTTTCGGATTCGGGGAGTAGAAAATTACATTTTCACCTCACTAGCTCGGAAAGGCGAAAAACCGTTTTGCGCGCGATAAAACAAAAGATAATGACACATTCATCTACGCGATTTGTCGTACATTACTTAGTTATTAGATAATATAAGTCAGTTGGTATATTTTATACTTATTATTGTTGACATTAAATTGACAATGACAAATAATTGTGTCTATTAAATTATTTTAATTCATCGAGGAACTATAATAATTTCAATAATCACTTAAACACACAAACAAAAGTTTACGTTTTCGTAACGTTTAATTAAAAGTTCTACTATTTTCCTCGCTATAGTGAGGTGAACAGTTGCGTGTTTCGCTCGGCAGCAAAGTTGATTTGCGTCTCGTGGCTTGACACCCTCGCTACGCTCAGGAATCTAGTTTTCTTAGCTTCCTTCGGTTGCTCAGGTTTTAATACAAGCACTCGTGTCAAACAACAACTTTGCAGCCTTGCATAACAAACAACTATTCCTTCCATTTTCATTAAGTGAGGCCTGAATCTATAACTTGTTAATATTTAACACTAGGAATGAAACTATTTTTCCGGATTTAAATCGCGTATATTTGTTTTTTCAAACAAACCGACGTTATTGTTAGACGTTTATTATAGATATTATTAGACGTTTACTGTAAAGGGCCCGAAACGTCGGTTTGTTTGAAAAAACAAATATACGCGATTTAAATCCGGAAAAATAGTTTCATTCCTATGTATAACAATCGCGAAAACCTAAGAACTCGATATATTTAACACTAGTTATAATGTATTGGAATTGTGAAATATATAAAATCTTTACCTCCAATAAAGCAGCCCATCTTAATAATTCCAGGAACTACGATCCAGGGTTTATGTCTGAGATCTACGAGGTCCATCACAGTGAGGATTATTGTGAGCAAAATAGGAACGCCATAACCGTATTGACAGTACATGCAGAATTTGAACATCTCGCCCCGTCGGTGTATGGGGCGAGCCTTCGCATAACCTCTGTGTTAAGCAAAACAGACAGTATGAAGTCAACATGAACATTAAGGTATAGAATTAAAAATGAAGTGTAAAACTTATTTACCAACTAACCTGAAAGTCCACCAAATGTCCATCGACATGACGTTCATCCAGCAGAAGCTCGACATAAACAGTAAATATGTCACGGTTGCTGTCGAACGAAATCATATTACAAGTAAAAAAGAACTTGGTGATAATCACAGACCACATGTGATAATGTTTCCTAAATATATTAAAAGTAATTGGCCAAGAGCTTGAAACACCCCGTTTATTATGACGAAAGTTGATTAACATGATATGTAATCAAATTTAATGTAGCTTAAATATAATGTCTGGAATTAACGGATGTGTTTGATACAATTTCACATGATATAATCACTATATATAATTAAAAAATGGTGTAACAACATATCTCAGTAAAGAGTATTAAAAAGAACGACCTCAAAAGTTCGTGGAAACATTTATTTGCCAAATTTGAAATCGGTTACCGGAAAGTGCTCGGAACCTGATTCATCTCCTAGTTTGACACTCTTAGAAGCGGAATATTTTCTTGAAATTTTAATGGGACCACTACAGAGGTACCCTCTTTCCAACAAAAAAAGAATCATCAAAATCGGTTTACATATTTGAGATTTGAGAGTTATCGTGTAACATACATACAAAAAAAAAGAAACACACGGTGGAATTGAGAACCTCCTCCTTTTTTTGAAGTCGATTAAAAAGGTATAATGTTATAGGAAATGAAATTTTTCCGGATATAAATCGCGTATTTTTGTTTTTTCAAACAAACCGACGTTTCGGGACCTGTAAAGAGTCACGGTAGACACCTAAACCTAAGGACAAACCTAAGAACTGGATAAGGTATAATTTCATTGTGTACAGTAAACCTCCAGTATAACAAAGAGATAGAATAATATAATTAACCGACATAACGAATTAATAGTATACGTATTACCAGTATAGTGTATTAAATATATAATAAACCTAACCTAATCTAATGGAAATATCAGTTCTAACAAGATTAATTTTAATGTGCTTTCGAGTGTAACATTCTTCGCTGCTCTCGTCATCGCACTTATAATAAATTTGACTCTGGGATTATATTTCTAAATTAATAAACGCACACACTCATAACCCTGCTCTAGGGAAATCCTCGCGTGTGCCAAGTACACGGATACGGAGTTTGGATGGAATTTGGGATTGTCTAGGTGTG